AATTCACTTCTGTTTGCCTCAGTTTCCTCAACTACGAAGTGAGGATAATAAGAGCACTTGCTGAGAGGATGAAATGAGATTTTTTTTAAAGGCATGTTTAGCACAGTTCCTGGCATATAGTAGGCACTGTGTAAATGCTTATTCCATTCTCTCTCCCTCTCCCTCTAAACATATTCCAATCTACTCTATTTTTTTTTTGACAGATTTGGGTATTTTTATTAATTTATTTTGATTTATGAACAATCACTTCCGCATGCTTTTGAGTTTAAAATTTTTCTCCCCCTTCCTCCCCACCACCCTCCCCAAAATGGTGCACGATATGATATAGGCTATACATTTACATTCTTATTAAACATATTTTCACATTAGTGAAGTTGTAAGTAAAAATTAAAACCAATAGGAGGAATCATCAGAAAGAGGAAACAAAACTCAAGAGAAGAGAAAAAAAAAAGATAGCAATTCAACTTCACAGTTATGATTACTATCTGTGTCTTTTTCTCCATCCTTTTTTCCTCCTGTTTATGCTTTTCTTTCTCCTCTCTCCCTTCCCCACCTCAGCAGTACTTTGCTTTTGACCACCACCTCCTTCAGTCTCTCCTCTCTTCTATTATCCCCCTCCCCCCCTTCCCCTTCACCCCCACCACTTCTTCCCTCCCTTCCACCTCCCTTCCCTTTTCTTTCCCCTTTTCCCTTCTACTGCCCATAGGGCAAGTTAGATTTCCATACCTAACTAATTATGTTATTCCCTTCTTGAGCCAAATCTAATGAGAGCAAGGTTCAAACCATGCTCACCCCCCTCCCTTCTTTCCCTCTGCTGTAATAGGATTTTTTGTCTTTTCCTGTAATTCTACTGTATTTTTTAATGAGGATGGGGGAGACCTTTCCTTGACCCAAGTATCTTGTATAAGAGTATGTTATCTCTCTCCATTAATTCACTGACAAATATCTTAAAGGAGTAGTCTATGCCTATTATGCCTTTTACTTCCTTTCCTCTCTGTCCATTCACTCTCCAACTCACCATCTGGCTTATGATCCCACCATTTCTTAAAATGCCATCTTAAAGTCCACAAAAGACATTCTAATTATTACCAAATTCAATGATCTTTTCTCAATTATTATCCTTTTCAGTCTCTCTTAATTATTTATCACTTCCTCCAGTCCGCCGCACACATTTGGAAAGTTTTATCCTTTGTTGACTTCAGTGATACTCATCATCATCATCATGGCTAGTATTTACATGGTGCTTTAAAGTTTGCAAAGCATTTTACATATTTTATCTTCTTTTTCCCCCTCTCTTGGCTCTCCACCTAATCATCTGCCTCTTCTTAAATATATTTTGCTACATCCTCTTCCTTTTCTCTTTATACATCCCCTTGGTGAACCTCCCAAGGCTTCAGATATCACCTCTTTGCAACTAACTTCCACATCTCTTTTTTCTAGATGAACTCAAGTCTTGTATTTCAAAGATGTCTCGTTCCTCCTAAATCTATTCTTAATCCCTGGACTTCTAGTCACTTTCCCCTCTCTACTTTCCTAGTCTATCACCTTTCCTTCGGCCTTGCTTTTTTTCCCCTTTCATAGCGTTAATTAACCCTTGTTGTGGACCAGGACAATAGTGGAAGTAGGGAAACTAACCTTCATGATCTCATTACACCAGCCAGGGCTGTTGTGAGCCAGGAAGTTATGGGACAGAGCTGGGGTAGCTTGAAGTACTTTGCCCACAGGTGGATTGAATCGGCACTCAGCTTTGAACCCGTTGCACAAAGAAGAAATAAAGCCACCACTAGGACTTTAGAGGAGAGCTCTTGAGGCCCCATGAATACTTCTTTGCCGTCAGCTACTTACCTGATTTTTATCTTTTTATCTGAACTACTTTTACCACCTTGTGGAATGTTTTTATTTGGGGATTACTGATATATTTTTATTAAAGAAATTGCCTATCTTAAGTCTTATATTTTGAGTGTCAGATCACACTAGATATGGAGTCATATAGTTAACCAGTTCACTTGTACACTGTCCTCGCCTCTATCTTTGATTCCTTTGCTGCTTTGTCCTTTCGCTTTTCATCCTTTTCCTAATTCCACCCTGGCTTACCACTGTCATCTTTACTTTCTGCTCTACTCTTGAGTTACTGAACTCTGCTATGGAAAGTAAAACAACTGTGGCAAGAGAGTCCACTACAAATTATATCTAAAACTATAATTATATATAAAAACTGGGGCCCAGTTTATATTATATCTATACATACACACACACACACACACACACACACAACACACACACACACACACATATATATATATATACATATACATATATATATATATACATATACATATATAATATAAACTGGGCCCCAATTTTATTTAATATATTATATGTTTATATAATATATATATATTTATAAATATAAATTTATATTTAGGTATAATATTTATAAAATCCATATAGTTATATATTATATCATGTTATATAATATATAATACTATATAAGCTGGGCCCTGCATTTTATTCATTTCACTTTTCTTCTCAAGCTGTCTATGACTACTTCTCCTTCCTCTCAGTAAAATGCTTTGTCTTTTACTTTACAGAGCCCATTGAGAGTATCAGTCCTTATGCCCTCTTCTTCCTCATCTGTCTTTTTGAATCTCTTCTTTCAAAATGTAATTCAAGGGCCATTTCCTCTGTTATGACTTTCCTGATCTCAGCCTTGCCCATTCCCTGTTAGATCCCTCTTCTTCTTGAAATGCCTGTGTGTGTGTGTGTGTGTGTGTGTGTGTGTGTGTGTGTATTTATATTTATCTGTGTACATGCTTTCTCCCTCCTGTATTTTAGAATATAAACTCCTTGAGGGCAAACATTATTTCATTTTTATCTCTATATCCTCAGGACCTTGGATAGTGCCTTACATGTAGTAGATACTTAATAAAATCTTAATTCAATTGATTGCTATGAGAATAACCACTGTGCCATCGGATATAGCTATACTGCAAAGAATCTTGGATTTAGAATCACACAAACTACATTCTACCCAAGTTTAAATCTCAACTCTGCCGCATCTTACCTATGTGACATTAAGGCCACTTTTGGGATCTGTATTCCTTGATGTCTGTCAAATGAAGGGTTTGGATTATATGTTGTTATGTTATATGTTGTCTAAGACCCCTTTTCATTTTAAATTCTTATGGTCTACATATATAATAGCTAGTATGTACAAAGTATACAAAGTGCTTTTCTCACAACAAAGCTTATTGGAGATAGTTCACATAATTTCACCTCCTTTTCACAGATAAAGAATGTGACCAGCTCAGAAAGTTTAGGTGATTTGCTTGGGGTCACACCACTAGGAAGTGTGAGAGCTGGGACTCAAACCTGGAGTTAGTTTGTTCCACTAGAATATGTCAAGGCATGACTATAGCAAAAGCTCCACAAATTAACACTTCCAAACCAAACCTACACTCTCTCCCCTACACCTGTCAGCACTTCCTCCTAAATTTCTTTCAATGGCATTACCTTTCTTTCCCCCAGTCACAGAGACTTGTTGCTTTGAAATCATCTTTGCCTCCTCCCTGTCCTTTATCACCCTTGCCAACCCCCCTCTCAATGTCCAGAGACTTGCTAAGTCCTATGAATTCTACTTCAATATCTTTCAAATCTGTCCTCTCTGATTTCCATTTCCACCATTCTAGTTTTAGGCCTCATTTTCTCTTTGTTAGACAATTATGATTACAGCCTTAATCTTTATAAGGCACAGACCTAGTCATGTCACTTGACAACTCAGAAAATCTTCAAGTGATTCCCATTGCCTACGGATTGAAACCCAAACTCCATAGATAGGCATTTGAGGCTTTCTACAACATATATGCAACCTATCTTCCTAGCTGCTTTGTCTGTTGCTTCCTTAAAGATATGCTATACGCTGATTAAATCAGGTTATTTACCATTCCCCAACCATGATTCATGTTTCATTGTAGCCTTGCCTTTGTTGCTACTGCTGCTATTTCTATTTGGAATAATCTCTCCTCATATCTACATCTTAAAATTCTACCATGTTCAAGGTGAAGCTCAAATGTTACCTCTTCCATGGTCAACCTCTCCCAAGTCTCATGTGACTCCATGTCCTCTGGACCCCTACAACATTGCTACATTACCACGTTACTACAATTCTACCTTGACTCAAGTGATTTTATATATTTGTAGTAGTCTCCTTACTAGCTTCTGAACTCCTGGCCTGCAGGGACTATGTTTTACTCATCTTTATTTCTCCTGTAGCTTATGGCATACTACTTTATACAGAGGAGGTAGTTTAACAAATATTTATTGAAGGAAAATGTACCATATCTTTATTTTAATCTTTTATTTGAATGTCACTGTTAGGGGAACACAAGGGATAGGAAAATCAAATTCCTAAAAATGATTTTGCCTACTGGTGTTAATAGCAGTATCAGAATAACTTCAGTTAAAATTATTATGTATTTTATAAAAGCTGAATTAGATTTTCATTTTGTTCTGCTTCAGGTTTCCAGTTTTAGCTAAGACTTCTATACAGCTTACCACTTGCCCTTCTAAAAAAGAGTTTGCTGAAATTAAATTAATTTATTTCAAGTCAGTATAATGAAACTGTAGTAGTATGTTCTAAATGTTCTCTAATAACAGCAATATGGCCCATTCTGAACCAATAGGCCTTTTTAGCTGTATGCTTACGCAACTATACGTGAGTTAGGATTGCTTTAAGCTTATATTTCTTTCCTTTTAATTCAAAGCCACCTTTTTGTTCTGCTAGAAATTAAACAAGTAAGCATGGACAAATGCAGGGAATTGATTTTGTCTTTTCTTTTTTTGGTGTATAACAAAAAATAACTCCAATATTAAAGAAGTCTCAAATCAAAACCCACTTAGTCTGTATAGGAGATTCAAAGTGAAGTTATTAATAATGTTAACATGCATATGTCACACTGCATAGTCTGATTATCCTTTTTTTTTTAATCTCTTGACTTCAGATGCAATAACCGAACACAGTGTGCTGTGGTAGCAGGCCCTGATGTGTTTCCAGACCCATGTCCAGGAACCTACAAATATCTTGAAGTGCAGTATGAATGTGTCCCTTACAGTATGTATATTTCTGTACTTTTTTTCCCAAAACCAAACATGATCAAATCTTTTTGTTATTGTTTTGTAGTATCTGGACAGCTATGCCACTTTATTTAAGATGATGGTTAGGTAATCAATGGAATAAAAAAGTAGGAAAATATATTCACATAAAGTATGATGTAATCAAACTAATCCTTGAAAAATGCCTTTGGTAAGTTTCTACTTGGAGATCATATTATTTTCCCTAAACTTAAGAAACAGAATATAGCCTTCATGTAGCCTAAGAATTTAATTCTGAACGTACAATTTCTTTTTATTACATCCAGGAATATGAAAAACAGTAAATACCCATTTTAAGATGTTTTTCATTTATAATAATTTTAGTATGAAATAGCAAATATTTAGAGAGACAAGTTGGGAAGGGGTTTTACCAGGTTCTACCTACCCACCAGACCCTGGTACATCTGTCACCCATGCAAACAAATAGAAGATGAATGATGAGAGATAAACTCAGGGATTTAGTGGTATAGGAATTGCTAAAATGGGAATTTTAGCTTGACTTAAAAAAATTGCATATAAGCCACTTAATGTGTCACATTTTGGAAGACTAGAGAGAGTATGTCAGAAAAAAAAAGACTAAATAGTTTATGTGAAGTAAAGCAATCTTCACAACTTTCGTTTCATAGAAGTAGGGTTTACCTTGCCTCAGTCCTATTGTCAGTTGTGGTATACATAAAGTACTTTTTTTCCCCCTCAGGCATATTAGAGAACTAAAACTCTGATATATAACACACTCTAGCTTTTCTATCCTGAAAGACCCAAGTTTTTAAATAAAAAAATTGTTCTTGAATTGAAATATTTATAGGATATAGGATTTCTTAATGAGAATCAAGTCATGGAATCCTATGTGAACATATTCAATATTCAGGTCAGCACAGAGCCTTGAAACACCTGGGCTCACCCCCACCCCCAGGTTCATTTTTAGCCAGCAGAATGTGAATATATCTGGGAAGTGACAAGCTCAGCATCCCAATGGACTGATAGGAGCATACCTCCTTCCTTGTTCATGCTGATCTCAAAACCAGAACATCAGTGGTGAGAAGGAGATATGCTTATGTTTTTAGCCAGTGGGGAATTATAAGGCCATTTGTCCATCAAGAAACACATTGAAATTGGGGAAAGTAAGTGTTCGTAAGTAAAGCAATATTAGAGATTTCTTCTTTGAAGTACTTAATCCATTGTCTATGAGCAACATTTTCCAGAAAAGATTTAGCAGCTAGCTAGAGGATTTATTGGAATTCAATAGATATGCACTCCATAGAAATGATACTTGCATGTTTAGGTCATTTATAGAGATAATATCTCTACAAAAACATATATAACTTTTGATGGTCATACTTCAATAATGCTTTTTAAGCAATGAAAAATTGTAGTAAGTTTCACAAGTATTGACAGAATAGCAGGAGTCCTTAGTCAGTTGTTTTTTAAAAATAATTGGTAGATGAGCTGTTGCAAAAAACAAGTTAACACTGAGTCCATAGTAATGACAATCTCATAATTGAACTAGAAAGGTTTTTTCATGTTTATGGTAATGTATTATTTTAATTTTTTTTAAAATAGTACTGTTAAGATATAAAAGTCAGAATAACTTTTTCCCCTACACTGTTAAAAAAAATAGAAAATTTCACAGTTGTCTCTTCAGTTCCTCTGAATCTCTTCAGACTGTTTTGTGATGATAGCTTATTTCAAAGTGTTCTGCCAAGCTTCCTTCTGAAATACCTTCATCTTAAATCACTTTAATAAAGTGAAGCCTTGCTTGTACAGCTCTGTATAAACCTGTCTTCCCCCTAGACATTCTTCTAGGTAAAAGGATTATGGTTTACCACAGATTTCCTTTCTCTGTTGCAAATTTTCAGAAATGGGCAATGAAATTTCTGGGTATCCTTTAGTAATAGCTTTCCTTTAATCCTAAAAAATACATACATACATACACACACACACACACACACACACACACACACACACATGCTTGTTGTCCTGCAAGGACACCCATGTTATACTGAAACATTAATATTTCATTAGACAATAATCTCAAACTGCTATTTCTAATGAAATAATCTGGTTTGTCAGTTTAGCTCCAAGATTCTAAATGATTGGTTCTATACAATGTGATCCCATTTCAAATTATATTCAAAAATTTTGAATAAAGGCATCCTATCCTATTGGGCCTTTATTGAGTAATTTTATCATGATTTTGTAGTGATAAACTAGTGTAGAAGAAGGTAAAGCCATAAAATAACTCATAGGAAATTCTTGAGAAGCAAAAAATATGGATTCTTGTCCTGGTTGTGCCATTTGTTAGCTGTCCAGCACATCACTTACCCTCTTTGCACTTCTATCCTCTTGTCTATAAAGTGATTCAATGGGACTATAGAAACTCTAAGTTCCCTTCTGTCACTGACATTATTCTGTGGATAATTCTTTTCCTAAGACAAATTATTGTGTATGTTTCTAATTTTTAAAATTTTTGTTTGGATGATTATGATGTTTTCTACAAGTCATTAAATATTTCCTATTACTTAGCTCCTTTTATTTTTAACACAACAACGTCTGCAGAGGTTAATGAATATTTCAAGAACACAAATCCTTTTTGTGTTTAGCCCTTTGCCAGCTTTGTTTAAAGCTTCCTGGAAACTGCCTACAAACTAGGGCATGACTTCAGGGAAAGGAATTTGCATTAATAATGCCCACTGTGTGCTAGGCACTGTGCTAAGCACTTTTTACGGATATCTCATTTAATTTCACAATAACTGTGTAAGATAGGTGCTGTTATTCCATTTTACAGTTGAGAAAACTGAGCAAAGAGAGGTTAAGTGACTTGCCCAATGCTACCTCAAAACCAGTCTCTGCACTCTAAAAAGAAACAATGATTTTGCCATTGATTTGTGAAGCTACTATAAATCAAGTGTATTTTAACTATTATAACAACTCTTAATGATATTTTTCTGAGTATAGTGAGTAATGCTTTAGGAAAGAACCATGTTCTGCTGGCAGCATGCCTAACCTAGAATTTAGAATTAATAATACAAAACCACACCACTAGCGAAGTACAGAGTTTTTTTCTCACATCACAGCCGTGAAAAAAGCAGTGCAGATAGTAGTAACCCTATTTTTGTTGCTGAAGAAATTGAGGTTCAGAAAGAAAGATCACAGAGCCAGAGATAGAAGGAAACCTAGAATCATCTAATCCAATCTCCCCACAATAGGGATACTGAGTCCAAAAATAAGGAATTGACTAGCCTGTAGTCTGTTAATTGCCTATTCCAGGTCAGAAAGTTTCCAGCATTTGTACCCTGAGCAGCTACAACTCCAATACCAATATCACTATATGCTCTGCATGTATTTTAAATCATACAAAATAAAATACATTTCTCTGAGATCAACCACATATTCTGATGTGTAAATATACACAATGAAATGAAAACACGTGCAGAATGAAAGAAAAAGGTAAGATACAATCAGAAAATAGATCATAAAGATAAAGAGGACCAGTAAAGAATGGATTGGCGGGCAGGAAGGGTTAGAGATAAAGACATAACATGTGCTAGGCTTCTCCATCCCATTAATAAAGTTGATGTTTCTTTGTCGTGTAGGGCCGGCCACTACCCTTTGTTCACAGTCCCAGTCCCAGTCTTTTTTGGCATTTCAGTTCCATTCTAGTCCCTGGCTTTCTCTATTGCCTGCTTCCTGACTTCTTTACCTCCCTCAGGTTTCCCACAGGGCAGAGAAGATTGTAAACAGACTCTCAAACTTGGCTAAGACACTCAGCAAAAATTGCGAGTCCCCAAGAGCTCACCTAAGAGTCCTCTTGTTGCCCCCTGTGGGGGGAGGGGCAGAGAGCTACCTGACCCTAAGTGCATGTTACACATGCTGGGTTAGTACCATTCTTCTTGCTTCCCCATGTTAAAGTTAATTTATGGCATATTGTCTTCCTTTCAGTCTCCTTAATAAAGAAACACAAGAATGTAAATCACTTTAGGGAAAGCATATTTTAGTGGAAAGAATGATGTATTTGGAAGGAAAAAAAAGGTAGATTTAAATACTGGCTTTTGTTTCTCAATGGCTTAGAATAAGTGATTTGGTTTCTTCTGCTGTTTAGTTTCCTCATTGGTAAAAATCAAAGGGCTAGACTAAATAATTGTTAAAGTCCCTTCTAGCTATAAATCTTATGTTCTAGTATTAAAAACTGCTTGATTTAGGGATTCATAGAATCATAGAATTTTGAGCTTGAATTTTAGAGATACTCATACTCAACTCCCTAATTTTACAGATAGGGAACTGAGGCCCAGTAAGGGTAAATTATTGTCCCAGAATCTCACATGTAGTAAGTAATGGAGGCAGGATTTGAATCAGTCTGGTTAGTCTTCAAATTCAGTACTTTTTCTCTATGCAAGAAATAACATGGTTCCTTTGAGATAATGATTTTATATTTTCAGATGCAGCCCCTTCCCCCACAAATGCCCTTTGAAGAATGAAAATCGCTTGTGAAGTATCATCTTTGAAAATGAGTGATTCTCATGATTAAATCTTTTCTTCCTACTTGATTCCCAGCAAAATTTTATAATTTTCAGTGGAATAAATAAGAAATGACTACCACTAGTCTCTGTGACACAAATTATTTAGTTATTTCCTCTTATATATTCAACACCATAAAATTGGCATACTATTTCTAATGAATACTTCCATTCTTAGTGCTAGAAGAAGGGCAAGGCAAGTATTGTCTATATCTTGTTCCAGTATAATTGTCAACACAATATACATTATATAACATACAATGTTGTGCATTAGACAATATCCATCTTACTTTCTTGATTACAGTATTGATGCAAAGATAACTTATTTACCTATAAGAAAAAAGATACAAAACAAGTAAAGCAAGTAATCAGATATAGAACAGTTTCTTGGTTTTTACAATCAACAAAAAATGGAGGATATTAAGTGTGATGGTGAGAGCAAAAT